TTGGCCTGTCCGGAAGCTAGAATAAGCTATATGGGCTTGAAATAGCAACCAACACTGCAGAGGAACAAGTGCCAACAGACCGAAATGAAGATATCAAAGAATGTAGATCTGAGCAAATGTGAGAACTACAGAGGGATCACACTACAATCGGTACTGTAACAGCATAGGTTGGTTGGTTAAGAGTTGACCCCAAACAACCAAGCATATGCCAAAACAGTATTGTTCAAGTATTCATTCACTTCCTTATTTTGTATAAGCGTTATATTCCTTATTATCTTATATTGAATGCTGAAAGCCTTTGTTTGTCTGAACAGATAATCCCACGCTCCACTGTGACTGCGCTAAGATCGAAATAAAGATTTCATTCAATTAGTGTCTGACTTCTTCTATCAATAACACGAGGGTTACCAAGGCACGAAACTGGTGAGCCCTTTTTGAACACAAATTAACCTCATTTTTGTTATTAATATTATTTTTTTTTTACTCAATCGTAAAAGTAGACCTGATAATCCGTAAACTAAGTTGGGTATATAAATAGTTTATTTTTTTTTATTATCTTAAGTTATTCGTGTCATAGAAACCATTTTTTTTTTCGTGCTAATTTTGTTGCTATATTTGTCACATACCTCATGTCAGACTTAAAAGAAACCCATAATCTGGAGGATTTGTCACCAGTGGAGATAGACACTGTTATGACTACGAAATCTCGACTTCCAGAATTTGATCGTAGTGATCCTGAGTTGTGGTTTGCTCAACTCGAGCATTATTTCACGAGACACAATATCAAATCTGAAGGGATTCGCTATAGAGATTTGTGTTCTATCCTTCCTCCTTCAGTCGCCAAAGAAGTCCGTGACTTGATTTTAGATCCACCATCACCACAACCGTACACCGTCTTAAGACGAGAGATAATGAACCGTTTATCATTATCAGATAGTCAAAGAATCCAAAGACTTTTTCAAGGTGAAACACTAGGTGATCGGTCGCCGTCACAGTTTCTACGTCACCTCCAAGTCTTAGTGGGTGATAACACAGTGGGTGAAGCAGTCCTAAAACAAGGATGGATACAAGCTCTCCCATGCTACGTCCAACATTGTTTGGATGCACAAGATCCTGAAACCTCATTATCTCATTTAGCGCGTATAGCTGAGAGAATAATGGAAAGAGGTCCTCCAACTGGATCAGGCACAATAAATCACACACAGAAAGTAGAATCAGCAAAAGACCCCGTCATAGAAGGACTCATTGCGAGTGTTAAGAGTCTCACTGAGGCTGTCACCAGAATGCAAATGGGTCATACAAACAGGAACAGGTCACCACAACGATCACGATCCAAGTCACAAAATAGGTCACAAATGTCCAGACAATCTGGGCAGTTTTGTTGGTACCACTGGAAGTTTGGTGTCAACTCAACCAAGTGCAGGCAACCATGCGCCTGGCCTAAGCATAATTCCAAGACAGCGGGAAACGAGTAACCCCTCCCCAGGTCGCGACAACTGAGGAGGGGCGCCTAAACAGTCGCTTGTTTTATGTCAGAGACAGAAACTCGGGCTTGAATTTTTTGGTGGACACTGGCGCTGCTCTTAGCATCATCCCTCGAAATAAAACTGAGATTAGTCGAGAAACATCCCCGATTACACTTCAAGCTGCAAATAAAACTACAATCGCGACATTTGGGCAGAAAACGTTAACCCTAGATTTGGGGTTCAGAAGGCAATTCCCTTGGGTTTTCACGGTAGCCGACTTAGATCTGGCAATACTGGGGATGGACTTTCTAGAGAGATACGAATTTCTTGTTGACACCAAGAAACGGCGATTAACACTAAAAGAAACTTCGTTTTACACAAAAGGCAAAGAAAGTCACATCAGCTCTCTTAACTTGATTCAAACCCCTCCAGTAACAACAGCGAAATTCCAAGATATACTCGCGGAATTTCCAAACTTAACCAAACCAAACCCACAGCCTTCCAAAGACAAACTAAAAGTAAGTCACACTATCAAAACCGAAGGTGCACCGGTGTTTGCGAAACCCAAGAGACTAGCACCAGATAAGCTCAAAATCGCTAGAGCCGAGTTTGATTATATGCTACAACTGGGTATTATCCGTCCGTCTGATAGTCAATGGGCATCCCCTTTGCATATGGTCCCAAAGAAGAATGAAGGTGACTGGCGACCGTGCGGGGATTACAGAGCCCTCAACCGTCAAACCGTACCAGATAGGTACCCAATACCGCATATCCAAGATTTCACAAACGGTTTACAGGGTATGAACATATTCACTAAAATTGACTTAGTCAGGGCATATCACAATATCCCGGTGGCTGATGAAGATATCCCTAAGACAGCTATTACAACACCCTTTGGCTTATTCGAGTTTGTACGCATGCCATTCGGCCTGAGAAACGCGGCACTTCCTCAGATATTCTTATTCCACAGTTTAACACTCTTTCTCATGAAAGCACTCAGTAAACCGTCAGCTATAGTTGTAGAAGAAATCACATGCTACTAAATAAGATGACAAGCTAGTAAATGAAGAGACATCCATGGACTACCGTTGTCAGCGTTAGTTGCCACTTATTGTAAGTCAAACATTGAGTGAGTTGATAACTTTCCCTTGGAATGAGAAATAGAACTAAGGTGTTTTTGATAGATAGGTTAATCGAACCGACGTTCCTACGGAAGTCGATTCTAGGGGGAAGCTAATGTAACAGCATAGGTTGGTTGGTTAAGAGTTGACCCCAAACAACCAAGCATATGCCAAAACAGTATTGTTCAAGTATTCATTCACTTCCTTATTTTGTATAAGCGTTATATTCCTTATTATCTTATATTGAATGCTGAAAGCCTTTGTTTGTCTGAACAGATAATCCCACGCTCCACTGTGACTGCGCTAAGATCGAAATAAAGATTTCATTCAATTAGTGTCTGACTTCTTCTATCAATAACACGAGGGTTACCTATAGGCACGGAACGGAACGGCACACAATGGAGAAGGCGAGTGAATCAACTCAATTTAGTTAAGCGTGGATCGATATTAATAGTCCAACAAAAATATGTTACAGTCATGTGATGAGTAAGATGAGAAACGCATACGCTTACATAAAGACAATCAAGGTTGATAAGCGAATAACTAACATGGTCAAAATATGACTCCAGAAGAATGAATAAATTGGCCTGTCCGGAAGCTAGAATAAGCTATATGGGCTTGAAATAGCAACCAACACTGCAGAGGAACAAGTGCCAACAGACCGAAATGAAGATATCAAAGAATGTAGATCTGAGCAAATGTGAGAACTACAGAGGGATCACACTACAATCGGTACCACGAGAGGTTTTCAACAGAGTGTTGTCCAACCGAATGAAAGATTCAGTGGGCACCCAACTTTAGGATCAACACACCGGATCGCGTAAGCATCGGTCGTGCACAGACCAACTTGCGACCCTACAGATCATCGTTGAACGATCAATTGAACGGAGCTCATCACTACCCATCAACTTCATTGACTATAAGAAGGCGATTGACAGCGTAGATCGAAGAACTTTATGGAACCTCTTTAGACACTGTGGTGTGCCTGCGAAGATTGTCAACATCATCCGGAATTCATATGAAGGACTACGCTTCAAAGTCGTGGATGAATGAATGCTGGCAGATGCGTTCCAAGTGATGACCGGAGTCATACAAGACTGCTTACATTCCTCCTTCTTCTTTCTTCCGACAGTTGAGTGTATTATGAAAACCTGCGTCTGAGGGGGATCACAGAATACGATGGACAAGTTGAATGCAACTGGACGATTGAGACTTCGCAGATAACCGAGCTCTTCTATACCGTACACACCAACAAATGCAGGTGAGGACAGTCAGTGTAACAACAACACCTGTCTGTAGCATTAGGGCTCAAAACACACCAGGGAAAAAGCAAGATCCTGAAACAAAACACGGAGAACACTGATTCAGTCACACTTGATGGAGAGACTCTGGAAGATGTGGAAAAGTTCACTTATCTGGGCATCATCATCGATTAACAAGATGGACTTGGTGCAGACACAAAGGCAAGAATTGAACATATGGAACTCAAAACAACTTTCAACCAATATGAATGTCAGAACTGAGATCCTTCCAGTTAAAGCAGTTCTGAATTTTAAGACGAATGTGAATGATGATTACAGCCATTGACTTCTGTTCTCAGCCACATCTAATGCCGTTTCAAGCTAATGAGTTGCACCATCTGTCGGACCACAACCAGTAAGTTGTGATTGACCGATCGATATCAGTTATATACGGATCTCTTTCATATCCCTGCACCATTTCATAAGTTGTAACATCGTAAACTATATGACCCTTTTTTATTATGTTATCTGTCACAAAAATGTAATTAAAATGCGGTGATGCCTTTAAGTCTCTCCAGGATAATTGCACATTCACGTTATGAGAATTCTGTGGGTATAGAGTTTTTAGATGTTGGTGTCTCAGGTGTTAGTTTATGGTATTAAATGCCTCCTGAACTATGAGACTCATGGTTGTGTTAGTGTGTTTACTGTTTACCACTTTCATTATTTTGTAACTCAACGGTTATGAGTGTTCTAGACACGAAATACTTCATGTCTGGCAATTAATATTGCTAAGCGTTTAAACTGTCTATAAAACTAGACTGTCATGGGTAAATTACTAATTAAAAGTGTCTAAATCAGTATTTTAGATTCTCACTGACTTATCTTGACATTAGATTGTAATATGGTTTCTGTCAGTTGAGTGTCATCTAGTTGTGACAACGGTTTGTGTGTAACAACTGGATGTTGTGAATTTCATAAACATTAACTGTGGTCAACAACAGACTTTTGTAGTAGATATTACCTGAAACTCTTTCAGATTATGAATACGATGTACTAATTGTACTTTTTTCTTAACTTTCAAGGCAACGAGAATCTCTTTTGTTGTTTACCTCAGACCCACTTCCATATTTTTTCCTGTGTATTCAGTTAAGTATTTGTCGAAATCACTGATGACCTCCAACATAAATCATACGAATGAACAACTTCCTCGTACAGAAAATCACTCGGAGTTAAAAGAAGTCTTGAAACCGTGCGGTAAACTTCCGCCGACAAACGACATAACATTGGATCGATCTTACTTTAAACGTAAAGTCCCAATGATATTCGTCGGTATTCAATGTGATAAACATGTCAAGACATCTTTAGAGAAGTTGAGACCATTTTTCTGTCCTTTTATCCGACTACCTAAAATATCTAAAACTTAGTAAGTTTCCTAGTATAATGTTTAGATTGTTATCGTCAACACAACTCATTTCATATTTATACTGAATTGTTTAACTCTTAGAAAGTATCTGCTTGATTAGAAATTCATCCCTTTGGTTGCTTATTACCAAACTCCTCAGGCGGATATGTGGATTTTGACACCAACCAATGCAATGTTTTTAATGGTTAGCTACAATTGTAGTGGCGTATGGTAGTTCCATATTTTGAATTATATTAATTTCAAAGACTATAGCTAGTGTAGTTCTACCTATAGTAATAGGAAAAACCTGGCTCCAATCATTTAGTGGCGTCAAAGTAATATATTTCTGAGGTATTTTGAAATCGTTTTTAATTTGTCTCACGAAGCAACTTTACACCCCATACATCAAAGTTGTATATATCCTCACTCTATCTTGAACAGAATAACAGATCTCGTCAGCCAGGATGTGCACTAAACACATTCTGTACGACTAAAGCATTCGTACAAAACCTGTGAGTTTATTCATATAAAATTGTGTTGTTAGTTTGATGAATTTAAGCAATCCAACATTTGGTATGTAGTTGAGTCTAAGGGCAGATAAGTGACTTCTGTACTGAACCTTTGTCGATGGTTCCCAACACTATTCGGCTGAATAGTATTGTGGTGTGTGCTACCGATGTCGACAGATATAAGTAGTATGTATCATCAATCGAAAGTGAAATGCCTGGAGGCAGAAGGTTAAGAAGATCAAAGAAAAGAGGACGAGGACAAAGAATAGTTGGTGTGGAAACGAAAGAACAATCAAGTCTGAGACGATTGTCTGAAGTATTTGTTGTATGATTCTCAGATTTTACTAAGATGTTCTGTAATTTTGTATTCAAATACATTCGATTGTCCCACTTGTGTTCACGTTCACTACAGTACTATGACAACTCAGAAGTATCGTAATTTGTATGTATATTCCTACTGACTGCGGTTGAGACAAATTAGAAGCTAAGTTCCTTCAAAACCTCGTTGACATTTTTGTAACTTATTGCTTTGCCTGTTGAATTTTCGTTCACTCATCTGCACTAATACAAGTGTGTTGGTTAACACATAATTCGTTTACATCTAGAACATGTTTTGGATTAAAAATTTCTTCTGCTACCAGAAACGACGGCAGCCATACCTCTGATAAGTCAGTTCTAGTCAGTAATTAATTAACTGGTGTCTACATCTTACTAAGAACAGTTTTCTTAAAAGTGAATTCTAAAGTGTTTCTTCAATACATGATGATAGGTGTAGAGTTTATTCAACTCAACAGTTTACAGAGTCTACTTGGTCAGATTGGAGGATAAAGCGATTTTGAGTTACTTTAATAGATGTAACTTTTTAATTTAAATTGGCATAACTTATCTGTAAGTGTAGTAAATAATCATTTTATACAGAAAACGTTAAGTATTTTCCGTTAGATTTTTTAGAGAATTATATCAATTCCGTTTACATCTAAGTTTTACTTCGTCTATTTGCTCTGAACGTACATATGCATTCTATCTTTGTAGAGCTTAACAGTGCTTTTCTTTCAGTTGTGCACCTGTTAATAGTAAGTAATGTATTTGTACCAATCTACCCAATTCCCAATTTATTCGAAATTATCAAGTCAAACCTTGGTAACGATACCTGTTAACAGTAAGGTACCCATGCACGTCGCCTCACCAGTGAAACATTCAGTCAGTCAGTCAGTCAGTAACAACGTAGAATTTCGTACGTACGTACATCAGTTCGAGTTGCCACACCACCTTAACACAGAGATGCAGTTGTCGATTCAAATCCCGTAGTGGTAGAGGTAGCAAGAGTGTAAGCAGTGATCGGGAAGATTAGGGTTTGGAGATGTTATTTAAAGAGTATAATTCAGTGAAATAAATTTGGAAAGAGATTCCCGATTTCCAGATTAAATGTATTGTTTTAAATCTAGGTGAAATATTGGTAAATAGGATTAAACCCATGTTACCAAAAATATTTCAACTTACTATCATTTTCACGGTGAGTTTGTAGCCGTTGCATTTGGCTTTAGGTAGACTATTCTATCAAGTGGTATCATCCTTAAAAAAATATCTACCAATCTGATGGTATGCGGTTTGGTATCGATTGAGAAATATAAATGGTCAGAGACATTCAGTAGCCTAAAACAAGTTTCCGTAACATATGTTGATTTCATGGTTATCTATTACTACAATTTGACAAATTTTCTGTTCTAATCTAATATACCCCGCCCAGATTCCGCTCCTTCGGGATCTCTCGATTTCCTTTAGTGTTTTGCTAAGGAAAATATCAACTTAGAATAATTACTTCTAAGAAGATATTCTAACTACGCTCTATACACTCTTTAAAGTTTTTCAATCTTTGTGATAAGTGTTTTCGGGCACCACATAAAGCCTCCTATTCATTAAGTGTTATGTTATCATAATTTATTTCTCCTGGAATAGTTTATACATTCTTAATAATTCACTTTCTATCTTTGCGAAAAATCACTTTCAGTCGAGATTCAAATGGATCGTTGCGTAAATTGATGTTGGTTCAAATGCCTGAACCTGATAAAATCTTACAGTTTATAACTGATTTGAATCAGTGGAACGTTGATTTACCTAAAGATTACTCAAATATTCAACCAGTCGATTTATCTGTACCTAAATTGCCCGAATGCCTAAACGATTTGAAAGCTGAAAATTCATTAAACGATGAAGCATTTAAAAAAGTTAGTGTTGTAGAAGAAGAGATAAACATGTTGGAAAATATTGTCACCTCACCATGTCTTGTGAATATGTCGATCGGTTATGAAAATTTCACATTCGAACAAGTTATCAAGGAATTGTTGCCTGATTTCATCTTGCCTATTACTGGGTTTACTATAATTGGTCACGTTATACAATTTAATCTCAAAACTGAAGCATTACCCTACCGTCATATTATTGGTGAGTGATGTGATGTCCTTACTTTTTCAAAAAACTAGTTGCTCTTTCGAATTTTCAGTAAAACCTCACTTACTGGGCATTAATCTTGCTTCTGCACTTAAGATAGTCGTTTTCTGACATTATTGAGGCGTGGGTCTGCCGTGAAACTGTTCTCTTGATCCCTATGTTGTTTAGAGATCAAGCTATATTGTCAATCTATGGTTCTTATTAAGTATCTAGTGTGTTTTTATTTTATTTTTTACAGGTAATTACCATTGTGCACCAAAATAAGTATGTCCTGCATAATTCAAGGGATATATAAGAGAGGAAAGGGAAGTTCTATCAGAAAATACAATTAGAACAAATGAGTAAACAAGAATATCATATAACACCAGATATATTTCAGCTAAAAGTGTGCTCAAGAAAGATTTCTTTTAGTCAAAAGATGTCTTCTCACTTTTACAAATAATTTAATAACGTAACAACAGAATTGCCACTGACTCCTATTACAAGCGATGTCTGATAATATCTCAAACCATTGAGTCGCATCGTCTCTAGGACCCAACCAAGGAGTCATAGCCGATCGACATTGGAAACTGAATGGTAACCACATTAGTTTTAATGAACTCACCTAGCTGAAGGCGCTCGGTCATGCATCCACACCAGAACACAAGTGGGAACGCTGTGCTCAACTTCTCCTGCAAGCGCTACCCAGTTAAAATTATTCGTTTCTCGATATATTGATAGCCTATCAAATATATCTTTGAAGCTCTTCGCTTCTGACTTTTGATTTTTCTGGGCGGGCACGATTCAATCATAGAAGGTGTTATTGGTTGAAGTGTTGTCAAACTAGAAATACCTGTGGTATCTGCAGTGTCGATGTTGGCGACTTACTGAACTGTTTATTTTGGGGATTTACTTACCACTACATGTTCAAAGAGCAACTAAAGTGGTACTTAGGTTAAAATGGGAATCATTCTCAGTGGTTTTCCTGTAGTGCAGTACGGTAGATTCTTTGTGATATAATCACTATGTTTAACATTGCGATTTGTTCTATCCACCCTAATGACCAATAATATGTTTGCGTAATTAGTTACATATAGGAGGAAATCCTTTAATGACAGAACATTTAAGGGTTTTACAGAAATCCGCACAGATATTTTTGCGGCGCTAATAAGCAAGTTGTGAAACTCATTAGTGGGACCTATTGCTATGAAACGTTTGGCTGAATACCTTAAAGGATTATCTCGGTTTTTGGTTATTACTGGAGAATAATCCCAGTGTTACTGTCATCAATTTTTTTTTCGACTCGATTTTAATGGTTTTCACATTCCAGAAAGCAAATATTACGAATGATACATGTTACGATAAGAATGAACTCGAAATACAAAGACATAGAACCCAAAGGTATAAACATTCTACTACTTTCGCAAAGCAGTGATAAAATTACCGTCATCATTCTTGGATACTTGATTTCAGTCAAAATGTTTTGTTACAGTTTTACTAGGCTAATTTAAAGGTCTCAGATTGCGCGCTTCCTGATGTCGTGGTTGTAAGTCCCATTAAATATTAAGAATAATGGAAAATATATATTTCCAAAAGAGTTAGTTTTACAAGATGAAATAAGTTTCTATTACACAAGCAACCAAACTTGGATGAATTTAGAGGAAAAAGTGCATGCATCTAGGCGACTTGGACTAAGCAGATGACATATAGGTTATTAGCTATAGCTTTTCTATCCCCGTACACCAACGAATGCAGGTGAGGACAGTCAGTGTAGCAACAACAGCTGTCTGTAGAGTTAGGGCTCAAAACACCAGGGAAGAAGCAAGATCCTGAAACAAAACACGGAGAACACTGATTCAGCCACACTTGGAGAATTGAAAAAACAAGGGGTAACATTCCTACGTTTAAAGAGCATATAGAACTGAAAAACAGCTGTCAAATTATATCAGTCAGAATCTTCAATACCAACGTCAATACAGTTCTACTGTACGGAGCTGAGAATTGGAGAACTACTACACCCATCATCAGAAGTGTACATGTATTCATAATCAATTCTCTATGCAAGATACTCAATGTTCGTTGACCGAATACCATCAGCAACAACCTTCTCTCTTCAGTAATAAGAATAGGTCTACCGACCTATATTAATCCTTGCAGTTTGTAATACTGTGGAGGTCCAATCTCGTTTTGAATATGTCAACAGGTGCTGATATTACGTGCTCCGGTAGAGAATTCCAGTAATTTACTACTCGGTGCGAGAAACGAAACCCCAGACGTAAACGATTTAATTTTTGAGTTTTCTTCGAATGTCCTCTCAAATGATCAGTCCTAGATGGAAGTAAAAATAAGACATTAATACCAAGGTCATCGTTCAGTATATGATAAACCAATATTAGATCACTCCGTATTCTACGGTGGGATAACGGAAATAAGTTAAAGTGTCTCAGTCTGTCTTCATAAGATAGGCCAGATAGACCTTTCACCATCTTAGTACTTCGTCGCTGGACTCTTTCCAGCATATCTACTTCATACTTGAGACAACGACTCGCTGCTTGAATCCCACATTTTAAATGTATTCGCACGTAAACCGGGTATAATAATTTGAACATTTCGTCATCTAAATACTGGAAAGACCTACGAATAGACCATAGTACCTTATAGCCTTTCGCAGCAGCAGCAGCCTTACAGTGACTAGTGGTTTTAAGACCACTGCTTAATATGACTCCTAAATTTTTATAGTTTACTTTGGGTAGCACGAATCCACATATTGTACAGTGATACGATTCATCATAGTTATTTAATTGCATCACCACAATCTTATTAGGATTTACTTCTAGTGACCACCTGTTCAACCTACTGTGGAAGAGAACAAACCAGCTTTCAGCTCAGTCAGCTGTTAAGTAAGACCAGGCATATATACTCATTGGTCCAAGTTGCCACACCTCATTAGCACAATACGATAAACACCAAATTCCATGTGATGGAATTACGAAAAGACGCTGGATATGGACTGGATATCTATTGAGGAAATTATCAAACTGCATCACGAGGCAAGCGTTAGTTTGGGATCCTGAAGGGAAAAGGAAAATAGGAAGACCAAAAAAGGCACTGCACTGAAAACCGGAAGCAGACATCAAAAAAATCAATAGCAACTGGAACCACTTGGGAATGATTGCTCAGGACAGAGTTGGGTGGAAAATGCTGTTGGGCGACCTATGTTCCTCGACAAGTGTAAACAGTTATAAGGTTACTTGTGGCGGGGTTTAGATATCCTCGTGCCAACCAAAGGACGAGTTGGATGTGCAGTATGTTGTACTGTCCTAATTCATGAGTGCGAAACACAGGCATTGCGTATGCAGGTTATTCGCAGGTTACCTGTATGCGTTAGTAGGTGCCTTCAAAACACTGCTCGTGTAATTCGGGATCACCTTGTTAGCAATGCTTGCGTTTGGAAGAGTGTGTTGGGTAAAGATGACAAATCGATTGGTGAGTTGGTAAATATTCGTCGATTGAGATGGTTGGAACATGTGATACCCATACCCACCTACCGCCCACGTCGACGGGCGATATGTAGTGTGGGAGTAGTCTGCAAGATAGCTAGAGGCGGCCAAACGAAAACGATGCATCTGTCCATGAAGTCATTGACAATTGGATTAGACCATGTTGACGTGGATGGACTGCCTTGCTGGAGTCGGCGTGTTTATCGTTACTAGTGGTTGGAGACAATGTATCAATTTCACAAGTTAGTCCACTACTTGACTTTCTCTAGGTCCCAAGCTTCTAAATTTAAAATATCTTTATTTTATCAATCTATCTATTTATTATTATGATTTTATTTAAACACAAATATTAGTACAAGAGGGCACCAAATATATATGCGCCGCACAAAGCAATGAGAATTTGAAGAGAAAGAAAAGATCAATAACGAACAGATTAGTGTAAGTGGATTCCAGACCAGTTTATTTCATTTGTATGGGTTAACGCGCCTACTCATTGTAAATCTTTCCCAGAGATTTATAGTCTCTCGAAATCACCCATCGAAATTACATTGCTTACTCTGGTACTTCTGCATCACATGTGAGAGCAGTTCTGCTCTATGCTTGTGAAACCTGGCCTCTCCGAGTCCAAGATTCTAGATGACTCTTTGTGTTTGATTGTCATCGTCTCCGAAGGATCGCTGACATCCAGTGGCAACACCATGCTAGTAATGCAGAGATTCAGCATCGTGTGTTCGGGCACAGAGATGATAATGCAATTGGTGTCATCATCTTGAAACATCGACTTCGGTGGCCTGGACATGTTCTACGAATGTCGTCCCAGAGAATTCCACGTCGTGCATTATTTGCCGACGCTGGGACTGGTTGGAAAAAGCGGAGAGGTGGTCAGTGTATGTCATGGTGTCGTAGTATGAAAGAAAGCTGCAAATGACTGGCTTGTGTTGGTCCTTGACGACTCCCTGGCTGAGGTCCTAGAGATGGTGCAACACAGTGGCTAGAGACGTTATCAGATATAGCTCAGAATAGAAGCAAGTGGCGATCCTGCTGTAACTTTCTTTTACTTTCTTCATAAAAAGTGGTTGTGTCTCCCTTATCTGAAAGATTTCTTCTGATTGTACCTTTCCGTCCCCCCATTATTATTTCGGTTTGGGCACCCGGGCAGTATCACAGCCCTCACACATATCGAATGAGATTTGTGTGGCGCAGATGTATTTGGTGCCTCTTTGTACAAATATCTATGTGTTGAAATAAAATAAAAATTATTATTACTACACTACTTACATTAATCTGTTCGTTATTGTTCTTTTTTCTCTCTTCGAATTCTCATTGCTTTGTGTGGCGCATATATATTTGGTGCCCTCTTGTACCAATACTTGTGTTCAAATAAATAAATCTGCATCACATCCACAATTTTCTTTCTGGTTTGGACTTATCAAATTATGTTTGGAATATATATATGTATATGGAGTTTTTAAAATATATATATTAGCCTAGTACGATCTTAAGGGCTTTAATGGTAGTGATGATAAAAACTCATAACTTTATGTGTTCTATAATCAATTAAATTCCCTTTCAATGATTTTGATACGCAACAGAGTATAATCACTTTCAAAATGTACCTTACCGTTACAGGTAAACTCAGAAGTGAATATCATAGAATGGGGGATCTTAACCTTCTAAAACCATATGCCGTTTTTGAACAACTATTTGAGCAGAAGATTAGAATAGAAGACAGGGATTGTCTCGAGTTTGCTGATATAAACGTCGCTGCTGGTGTCTTAACCTCCTGTCATGGTTCAGCTCTTGTCAAAGTCGGAAAAACTCAGGTGATTGCAGGTGTAAAGGTACATTGTGGGTTTTTGATCTCAACAATTATAGGTCAAGGTAATTCCAGAAAGCGGAAACTCAGGCAACATAACCTGCAATGTCGAGTTTGCTGGTCTCTGTCATAGAAGTTCACGTTTAAATGCTCCACAACCTAAGTATGCGCAGTGGCTGTCTTCTACAATCCAAAGACTCCTGAATAATTTTGCATTCCCATCTATTGAAAACCAGCTAAACATATTCTCAATAAATGACCCAAACATACTTACACCAGTAGCTTCCTACACTTTGAAGCTCGATGTCTTCGTCCTTCATGACGATGGGTGCTTACTAGATGCTTGTGTCCCCGCTGCACTTGTTAGTCTTTGTACAACAAAGTGGACAAAGTTATATGCGGTTACGGATGAACAAGCTGCGGGATCCTATTTAGAATTATATAAACCAGGACCACAAAATGAGACAAAATCCCTAAAAATAAATGAATGGCCTGTTTCACTATCTTTCTGCTTCGTTCCTCGCCCGGTTGCTGATAGAAAGTCAAAGACAGTCCCTATTATTGCCCAACCAACGAAACGAGAGTTAGATATTTGGGATACGGATGCTGGTCCAGTACATATAACTGTTTCTCAGGGTGCTGTCGTCGATCTTTCTGCGGTCAATGCATTTCTAACGGGTCTTTGGGACAGTTTATTTGTAGCGGGTGCAAATGAAAGTGATGTAGTCAACTCATGGGAAGTTTTGTTTGATTCTGCCGTTTCTCACGCTCAGAAAGTTCTACAGATAATCCAAAAGGCAATAAACTAGTTTGTATAGTTCACGACAATTGTAAGAAAAGTGTTTTCATTTTTGATTCTTTGTAAAACTGTATTGTTTAATTGATTAATTAAATTTCTACGTAGATTTTAGATTTGATGGTATATTCTTCATAAATCTTAATTATTTACACTACAATGTTTCACAGTGCAAACATGAGACTTTAAAATTCAATGATTTCTAAAAGACTTAAGAAAGTTCTCTTGGTTAGTGAGACCGTTTACCTGGTTGTAGATATCCAGAACGAAATAAAATTCTCACAATATCAGATATTTGTCTTTCGTGTACTCAGAAGGGGTATATATTGTTGACATCAAGTATAACTTAAGTTATTCCAATCGGGATTAGCTTTTTTATTTTCAATTTATCTCAACTTTTATGATACCGACATTTTCTTCAACGCCTTAGTTTTGTTTAAGTATCATACGTCAAGAATGTAGTTGTATATGAACACAACTCTTGTTGTTCACAATTCATATTAAGTGTATCAATGTCAAGGTAGGGGAAATTTTACCTGTGTAATACCTTTTTGGCTTTTGATTCTGTCGTGTAAATGTTTAGATTTTCACCATTAATTTGCTTTGTTGATTAATGTAGCTGCACCAGACACGATTTAGACGATCAGAGAATATAAAAAACTCTGACTGATTAAGCATAGTTTGTGGCTTTGTGGATAAACACTGAAGGTAATCAAGAACTAATACGTGAAAGCAATTCAGTAAGTTCTATCTGCGACTGTAGAAACTGAATTAATAGTGAGTTCTACCTATCCGTAGTAACTGGCATTTTAAAAACCGATATCCAATTCCCGTTGTCACTGTTATGAAGGAAGTTTTTGATGATCTAATAAAACGAAAATTTTGACTGTTGATATTAAAAAATAGAATGCTAATCGGGAAATGAACACAGTGATACGATGTAGTTAAGTAATAGCTACTCACAAGACCATATTATTGACTTAGACCCTTGAATGCTCATAAATCAACGGTAAGACCACTAGCCAGACTAATGCTTTTTTCATGCTATGAAACGACATGCTTATATACGTATTAATAATTGAATATCACAAGTGGTTGTTCACTCATTACTGACTGTTAAGCCTAATTTTTGCTTATCGTATCACATATGTGGTTGTGTCATGCCAGTCATATTTAACTTCAGTCATTAAATAAGATATTCCTTGACATTAATTTCGTTTGCCTTAACTAATAACAGTTTTACTACTGTTAGCAGCTACTATAATAATGGTCTGTTGAACATGTTTATTCGTCGTCTTTCTGTTCGTTATGTTACTTAAAGAGTAATTGGAAAAGAGGATTTAATGGTGATTAACTCACAATATCGAAAACACTTTCTCCATCTGTTGCTATAGATTAGTAAATTTTCACTATGGTTTGGGATGTCGCAAAAGTGGCAGGAATTGTTGTATGCTAACATCAAGGGAATAAAATTGACTAACATAATCTCTAATTACTCGCGATCCGTAATGTTAGGACGTTTATCTAAAGCTTATTTTAAACCTTGTGGAACCGACCAGCTTCTAAAAAAACTGTAAGGTAGTTATTAGTGTAGTCTCTAAGTTTATGCATAACTCATTCCAACACCAAATTGTCTCTGGACGTAGATGAGATTTCACTCTCTGTCCAGATATCATATGGCAATTTTTTACTAACAGTCATCCTATTATTTATTTACTATTGCTTTATAATAAAAAGTACTCGGTTTTATAAATCATCAAACAATATGGCGCCGCGAAACAAAACGGTAGTGTTTCGAAGAGTTAGAAGTGACAAAGAATAAGTATTATAAACCAAGATAAGAGGAAAATAATAAAAGGTACAATAGGATCAACAATGGGTTCCATTCTGTTGAAATATCGGGTCACTGACTTGCACGATGTTTAAGTGGCATGCTTTATATCAGGACAAAGAGAAAGGAAATTGACAAAATGAGGTATAGAACAAAGTATGACACCCAATATCGCAAATAGCTAAGCCTAATAAGTCCATTTAAAATGAAACACAAAATCAGTGGATCAAATTGGAAAACAAAAGGTGTGTAGTGAAAAGAAAACAACTATATGTAACCCATTACAGCTGATTTTGAGTCATTTCACCCAACATGCGTGTTTTAACCTATATGTCTTTTTCTTTTTCAAAATAGGATCATATGAATATTTATCTCGTGCAAATACATCTATAAGAAGACTTTGTTTTGTGCAGTGATGTTTTATTTCATACAAATTGATACTTATCTGATTTTATATGAAAATTCTCCATCGAAACAAGTAATGTTCTCAAAACGGCTCTGTGTTCACTATAACTAGTTCGGGAATTTTCAACTGTTTTGATGATGGCATTGTTCAGTGAATGTCAGTCAAATGTGTTTCATTGTACATAACACTATCTTTTGTAAAAAAATTTCAGCCTTACTACTTTTTTGTGTGATATACAATAAATTTGTTAATCTCACTGTAAAAAAATAAAACTTATTGAATATTAAAATGAAAATCGTTTTGCTTAGCAAGATAATATAATAATATGATGTATCTTCTGTTATATAGTATCCATGTTACTTTGTTCTGTTGGTGAATTTTCCACCAAAATTTATTAGGTTTCATTCACCATATTCCTATTGAGAAATCCAATTAACACTGTAAGAGTGTTAGCATAATGTAACAGATTTATCTGCAACCAACCCAAAAACTAACTTACTCATGTAAACCAAATTGGGATTGCAACTCGACGGTTTTATGATATTGGATTAGTGCATAAATTCTGGCGAATTTACTGAGATTTCTTATCGCAATCGTTAGAGACTTTCCTGGAGGTTGATATATAACCATTTTAATCCGATTGTGTCAAGGAAAGCTGTACTATCTTACACATATTTCCCAGCAGTAACTAGCTTTGTAACATTGTTTACCGCTGACAATCAAAAGACTTATATTTCAGTAGTCGGACGTAAAAAACTTGTGGTTGATTCATTAGTACTTCTCTCATCTGTAATAGATCCGAAGCTTGTTATGAATATCTGTCAAATCATATTAAAAACCACGTAAAGGCTTGCACTAGGCACTGGTACGGCTGAGGGTGTGACGAATTTGCACTCCTCGAAGTGCTCTCACTTGGTCACGCGTATATATTCACTGCCATGGAAATCCTACTCGCAGCCTTCTTGGGGTGGGTGTTGTTTATGAAATTCAGAGGACGAAAATCTAATGTTTGGCTCTAACCGGGTTGGTGGGTATGGAGGATCCACATAGAGGGGTCGGAAAACTGTGATCCCAAACCAATATTGCACATGGGCTCCATGATCCTAAGGAAACAAATGACGTATGATACTATTGTTGGTCACCGGCTACTATGGGACCGTGTCTCCTTACGTTGATCCACTGCCTTGTAGATCAGACCTCTAGGTCGAAGGCTTCGGGTGTGGCTCCCTAAGAAAACCACCTGCCCTCACACAAATCAATGTTAACTACCACTGATCTCATTGTTATTTTGTGGTGCTCCCCTGTACTAATGCTTGTGTGTACGAAATAATAAATTATAGTATATATGAAGGTCTAAAACAAGAAAATCCTTGGGTTTTACTACATATGCTGCAACCAGAATACCATGAAATGAGTGTTTCACGTACTATATCATCTTTACCAAGTACGAGTCAAGGATTTCGAATTATAAACATAAGGAAGAGGAAAAACAATGAAGAAGTATTCAAGTATTTCGTTTCCTGCTTTCAACAAAACAAAACGTGCTCATTTATAGTCACTGATCATTATGTTTGTAGTGTGTTTTGATGGTTTTTGTACCAAAAGTATTCTAACTCCCAGTGTAATTACTCAAACACATAGGAGCTTATGTTGAGCTATCATCATAACTTCGAGTGCTATTCTATTTGATGAAAACACTTAGAAACATAATTTCCTCAAGTTTCTATTTAATTGTGAAGTTTTGTTTTAGAAGTGGTCTGCATGTAGAAGGCTAGCTAAAATGTGTTAGCAGTTCATGAATTCGTTGACCATTGGTCCAAGGCATATAAGTTATTTCAAACCAGCCTGTGTTAGGATCTGCATAATAATAGTTGTCAGTGGTTGAGACGTCGAGTAACTCGGTTGAGGATCGGTCACAATATTACAGATTTTGAATCTCAATATCTTTTCGAACGTACCTTCCCACTGCTTTAAACCATATTCCTCAAGTGTAGTCTCCTTTTTGTCGTTATTACTAGGTTGTTTCAATCTCTTGTTATTTTCATTTTGATTGTTATAATTATTTCAGCATCCTTGGTGTTCGTTCGGTTAATTTCGCCTCGTTGTGATGATATGGTGTGGAGACCCGGGCTTCGGACGGCAAAGCTTAACATTTTCAGCATTGGAACAGATCCATTCGTTATTTGTCTTCATTCTACGAATGTATATTTCCTCGAATAAAATTTATCCCTAATCTTTTCTACGATTACTACTTATACTGTGTCCTTTTGTTGTGATGAAATGTATGATAACTTGGACCGATGAACATATGTCCTAGGCATTACCTTGCGTATGACTGATTGAATACTTGTACCTGGCTGTTTGTTGATTATAACTGATATGGATCAAGTCATTGGTAACAACATAGGCAGTCTTGATCTTAGTCTTCTGAACAAAGTTGTTGGTATAACTCGTGCTACTTTATTTTAGTTAGTAGTATGAGTGAAATAGAACATTGGTATATTTGATTCATTGATGTTCAGGACAAAAATTATAGTGTAAAGATTTTTTGCTCAAGTTGAATCAGATTTTTAGGTTCGTCCTCAAACTGAACTATCCATTTACCTAGTTCTGTTGCCCCTCTTAGGACATAAGGGGTCAGAAACAAATCTTCAACTTGTCTTAGGCTCTCCTTTTCAGTTCTCGACAAGTTTTATTCGTCGACTTGGTATATCCCTCCAGTTTCCGACGTCATGTGTTCCTTGGTCTTCCTCCTTTACCTTGGGGATTCCATGTT